GGCCATAAGCAGAGGTTTTTGGTACAAAAAAATATTACTCATACGCACTGACGACCGATACATGAGAAATGTACATTGCTTGCCATCAAACCAATATTGAACCAATCAATTTACAACATTTACATATACAACATACTCCATATATGCATACATATATATTGAAATATATATAGATATGTACATACATAAGATAATCTTACCAACAAAGGCTTGATACCCCACAATTATTCTCAAAATATCCTCACAAAAAAAAAAGAAATAAAGTAAAAAAACCTTAATGCTAAGCCCTGATCAAGCTTAACGACAACATTTTTCCCAATAAAAATATAAGACATAAATTCTAATTATAACGTAAAAATAATATATACACAACATAAACAAAGGGCCGAAAGCGGCCAAACAATAAACTGTCAAACGCAAGGCCAAAAAAATAAAAAAACAAACAAAAAAAAATTTAAAGGAAAAAAAACTAAATAACACTGAAAACAAAAATGAAGAAAAGGACAAAATGGAGAGAAAAAAAAATACAAAAAAATACATGCTTCATTTATCAAATATTAATAGAAAAGCGAACAAATAAATAAATAACAAAGCACGCGCTTACACTCGCATAAAAACCCATAACGAATGTATGAGAGAGTATAACTGAATTGCACAGCTACATTAATATATATACATATATACATTCATATAAACATGCATACATACCTTTGTACATATTTATTTGTATAAAAGTGACGCTGTTGAGCACTTTTACTGACTGACTCGCAGGTGAGGTTAGGTTTGGCTGTCATTTTGAGTGTGCAGGCGTAAGAGTAAATGTGTGTCTGTATATGTATTTTTTATAGCATTTTGTAGTATAATAACAATACATGTTGCCATAAATGTATATATGAATGCGTGTATATATATTTATTTAAAGTAGTTTGTGCATTTATGGCAAACAATGTGAACAATCATAAAAATACTTAATAACAATATATATTCATACATGTACATATGTATGCATATGTCTATATATATGTGTGTAAAAGTTAATACAATAGCAAAAAGACAGGCAGACAGACAGTTTGTATACATTTACATAAGCATTTACATTGTACATATACATACTTATATCAATTGTCTATTTGTATAACGCACTCGCACTTAGCAACCCGCTCAGCTCAACGCAATGCAAAAATGTGTTTCAAGCTGCGTGTGCACAATTAAACACGCACAAAAAATAATGTGAAGAAAAATATTTTTTTTTTCAAGAAAAAAATCATAAGAAATAAAGGCAATTCTTACAATAAATGAAAGAAGTTAAGGTGAAATAAATAAAAAGAAAAATATGAAATCTATGTATGTGCTCAAGTAGATGGAAAAATATAAGAAATTCAGTTGGAAAAGAAACTAAAATGAAATTAAGTTAAATGAAAATAATATTAAAATAATATTGTTTGAAGAAAAAAATTATAATAAGAGAAAAATAAATAAAAATAATAATTTTTTTCGTAGAAAAATAATCAAAAAATTTCAATAAAAAATATATAATATAGTCTATAGATTGATAAATTAATAACCGTGAAGGCACGTTTTCTTAAGTGGCTTACTTAGTCTGCAAGTTCATTTAGGCCGGAGGTCGCTTATTAATAATAAATATTAGAAGCTTTTTCTGCCAGCTTCTTTTTAAATTAAATTATTTATTTTTTTCAATTTAAATAATTTATTTTACTGAAAATGTTAAGGTGTTGAATTTTTATTTTACATAAAGTAAAAATTTTATCTGTTCAAAACTAGCTCTTCTTGCATTTTTTCTCCAGTTGAAAAAATGTTGCTCATACGCCATGACGAAGATTTGATTTTTTTCTGAGTTAAGAATTACTATATTTCAATCTAAGAAAATGGCTTATGGTCTGAAATGGCCCTATGCACATGAGTACGATGGCCTCTTGAAAACAACACACACATACACGCACACCTCTGCGTTAACCCAACTAAAATTAGTAGAAATGAAATGTCTTAGCACATTTTGCTTGTAGAAATCAAGCCTTTTTTGTATATAGATTTTTTTCAACTTACCAAAGATGGTCCCAATGGGCACTCTATATATCATATTGGCCCAGTATTTCATAAGAAAGTCAAAACTATAGTTTAAATTGCAAGGAAAAAGAAAAAAAGTTTAACTTTTCACTTCTCCGATTTCCTTTAATTTTTCTGCTAACAATTTTACTTTACACCAATTAATATCAAAAGTTGCATCAAACTGTCTACTGAAACGTACATTTCCTTTAACAAATTTTTGAATTGCTAACAGTTTTCTTTGTGCACAAGAATTTCTTTCGGTCTTTGCTTTCCCTTTGTTGCATAGTTTGCTAAATTGCTGTCTCATACCCAGCCTTTTATGCTTACACTATTTTTGTTTTCGCTACAAGAAATGGCAACAAATGTGATTGATAGTTAATTTCCGCTTGCTGATTGTCAATTTGCTCCAGTACGTGATGGATGATTTTCCAGTTCTCTTAAAAAAAAAAATTGAAGTAAATTGTGCGCGAATGTGAATAGTTGATTTTTATTTATTTATTTTTTATTTTTTTTAATTTGTTAACTCAAGAGAAGTTTTTCCGTTTTACTCAAACTGTCATTAACATTTCAGTACCTGAACTTTTGCATAAAATAGATTTGATTAAATTAAGTTTTTTCTGATAAAAACGGAATAAATAAATTTAAAAGGAGACGACTTTGCCTTAAAATAATAAGCAAAATGCTCTGCAGTTTACTATTCACTAGTAGCAGTGGGAAGCGAAAATTGGCAACGTTGTTAATAACAAATTTTTTAAGAAAAACAGTAAATAAGATTTTTCGCCCCCAGAGATTATAGTATTAATCCCAGAAAACTGAAATCAACGAACTAGCTTCATAGCAAGAATAAAAAGAAAACTGGCAACATTGTCCGAAAAATCATAACAAACTTCAAGCAACTGAAGCCAATGCCAAAAACTTCACGTTATGCCGCATATCGAAAATTGGCAACATTGTCAATAAAATCATAAGAAATTTCCAAACCATGGACAAGAACTTCACATTGTGCCGCATACAGATGCCAAGTGAGTTGAGATTCATGAAAATTGGCAACATTGTTTCCGAAAATTTTGGCAATAGCAATTAAATGAGAATATGTTTTGTAGTAAGGTGTCAATATCAATTACAAGAAACTTAACTCGCCGAAGCTGAAAATTGGCAACATTGTGGAAGTAACTTTACGAAGTTTCTCCCAAAAATTAACTGGAACAAATACTTGCAAGTTTGTGGTATAAAGCACTTTTAGTATTCAACGATTAGAACTAAGAATTTATAACTAAGAAAATTGGCAACATTGCAGAAAGAAAATATATATTTTTTCTTCATAACTGCATAAAAGAAATACTCAGAACAACATTTTTATCAAAATCTTAACAGAGCGAAAACCTTTACACCGTTCTAAAGAGAGAAAAAGAATGTAGACTTAAAAAAATTGTCAATGTTGCTGAAGTCAAAATCTCTACTCCTTACCGAAAAGTTGTGTACGCGAGCTGCACAAAACAAAATTATGGTCAATGCGTAAACACAAACAATATTTTCGCTACAACAGAGAAAGAAGCAAATTTGTGTTTAGTAAATTTGGCAACATTGCAAAAATAATCCTCAAACCACTACAAGAATCACACAGCATGAAAATTAACAGCGTGCTAGCGCTAAGCACGTTTTGCCGTCAACAAAGAGAGGAGAGAGTACAACTAAAGAAACTGGCAACCTCGCAGATAGAACGAGTTGTGTTTATTATTTATTTTAAGTCTTACGTACAAAGCTCTGCTCAGACCAAAATTTTTAAGAAAACCGAAAAAATATAATTTTTTTCGCTACTGAAAAGGTAGTTTGATTACCGTAAAACTGGCAACGTTGCTTTTGTAGGTAACGAGAATAAATTATGCTATAATCAACGGCAGAAAATTATTTACAAAAAACAGTAATCAACTAATATTTTGGTAATTTTTATATCAACAACTCATGAAGAAAATATGCAACGTTTAATTTTCATAAAAAAATTGCTTGGGAAAATTGGCAACATTACCTACAATGGCTTTATAATTTTTTAGTTTTATTTATAGAACTGCAGTTTCTGGAAATTGGGTATGAGAGCATAAGCTACCGAAAACAAACTCCTAAAAAGAAAAAAGATACTTCTGAGGAAAAAGTTGGCAACAGTGTCACGATACAAGAACACTCATATATACATGTTTATTCCGAAAAGCTATAAACATCAAAGTATGTATGCGTCGGGTAGCATTCATTTAAACCAACGTGCACAGATATTAGCATACTCGTACATACACACCTAGATACATCAAAATTTATTGATCACACATTATACCAGAAAAAAACGAAAAAAAGGTTGATAGAAGTCAGCTTTTGTATGCCAGAAACAAAAAAAATATTTGTTTTCTGAGTTTCAGAATAAAAGAGGGGGGTGGGTTAATAAGCAACGAAATGAGTTTGAATATTTTTTTTTTCATAGCTGGACGCAAAAAATTCATTATTCCCATTTCTTTTGTTCTACCATTTCATCTAATGAGCCAAGCGTAAAGTTTTTTCATTAAAAAATTGTTCGAATGTACCGAGTGATGTCTGTCTATACGGAAACTTTTGCACCAAAAAAAGTTTCAGTAAAACTTTGGACTTTTTTTATATGTACAACAGAAAAAAATGTTTATTGATTTTATTTAAAAATTACATAAAAATGTACATATAAATATGTTATTTAAATTAAGTTGTAATTATTTGAATACTAAAACGTTGCTTAATATCCTCAAATAATGTCTTTTATTAGTATTATCCATATAAAGTTATTAAATTATATATATGTATATGAAGCCATCTTTAAAATATTCGCCCATCAGTTTTTGTCCTTTAATATTTTTTCTTATTGTGTGTTGAGAAATTAACTATATTTTTGTTTATTTTCCTTATCTGCATTGCAGGTTTCCTCTCGTGGGATGTCGGTGATTGTCACGTTGACTTGGAGGAGGAATTGAATACGATAACGCAGAATCCGCCAGAGGGAGAGGAAGCTCGTCACGGTAAGCTTGCGATATGTCATGAATAAACTTTTATTCAATATTAAATAAGCAGCAAAATAAGAATTAAATTAAATAATACCAAAATGAAGAAAAATAAAATAATTTAAATTATAAAAAATTAAAAATTTAAAATAAAGTCATACGTTGCACCTTGAACGAGTTGCATTTAGTCTTGTGGCGTTGCAGCTCGCATTGAGTTTCCCGTAAAGATCTGTCAGGAGAAGATTAAGCAGAAATTCAAGCGCCCTCGTAGCAGATGAGGACAGCGCATCCGTCATGAGTTTCGAGACCGTCCGTTGAACTTTTCCTATAGGTAGCCTTTTCAAGTGCTGGCCACGAAACATTGGCTCGCTTTGCTCAGCGAGTACACAATATGCGTACTTAATTCCTCTCTCTTACAGAACTTCGTCTAGTAGGCATAGTGTGCGGTGGGAGCTTTTTTACACCTTTCCACCTTGTTCCGGTTTCAGACGACTTTGTTGCCTAAGATAATGTCACAATATTTAACCTCAGTAGAAAGCGCGATCATTTGTACCTTCTACTAGTCAAGAGTACCAGCTCGGTTGATCTTATGTACCAGCTATTTACTGTGTGAAGGGCATTTTCAAGCAGATCGCCAAGGACCTGTAGGTGCTTTTCGGTAGCAGTGTATGCAACAACCGTCAGCGAATGCTACCTACATTACAACTCGCTTTTATTAGCTTTTGGAGCGGCACGTTGACCCTAAGTCACCACAGAAGGCGACTCTAGTGGCATACATGGTTACTGATATGCCTTTTAATTCACCACCAGCGCTTCGAAACCTATTACTCAGAGTGGCAACGTAACTATTCCTGGTCAGACATTGTTATTGCTCGCGCTTAATCCTCGAGACAATATTTCGAAGAGCGGTGCCAACAGGTTTGCCTTTAGAGTAGAGACGATGACTTTTCAACAGGTTATTTGGAGGGAATGAAATAAAATTAAATAAAATAAAAATAAAATTAAATGAAATAAAATAAAATACAAAAATTAAAAAATACATAAAATAAAATAAAGTAAGAAAATGAAATAAAAGAAATTATATCAAAATTAATTTAATTTAAATAAAATAAAATACTCTAAAATAAAATAAAATAAAATAAAATAAAATAAAATAAAATAAAATAAAATAAAATAAAATAAAATAAAATAAAATAAAATAAATTAAAATAAAATAAAATAAAATAAGTTAAAATAAAATTAATCTTAATCAAAATAAAGTCAAATAAAATAGAATTCAAATAAATTACAATTAAAACAATTAAAAACAAATACAAAAAGAAACTCTGTTAATGAAAATAAAATTCAATTTAAAAATACATCAATGAATAAAATAACCTTGATTAAATAAACCTAAAATATTAAAAGATAAATAAAAATAAGATAAATCTATTTTGGAATAAAATAGATTTGAAACGATAATCAAAATTATAATATGTAAAAAGAATATAAAGTAAATAATATAAAATTAAAACAAAAGAGCAATAAAGTGAAAAAAAAATTGAGAAAAAATTAAAAAAGTTTATATATTTTATTTATATAGAATACTGATTTTTCTCAAATCAGTTTTGCTGATGATTCAAGTACATGCTTATATATCATGTGACTACTCTTTATACACATTCACATCTTATTGGTTGACTACAACAACGCTTCACAAAACTCGTTTGTTTTTTCACTTCACTTTCCTTTTAAATTTCACATGTGATTCCCTTAAGCACTTTTAATTTACGTCATAAAAATGTTTTTGAACCCAGTTGACACTTTTAATCCGAGCGTAAAGTTGAAAATGTTTTCACCAAGTAAGCTCATACACACTTAACGTTTCGCGCAGAGAATCAGATTTCGCACACCTGTATTTTTATTTTTTTGGTTTACTTCAAACCATTTTTCGCAATCAGCATACAGTGCTTGCCAGTCCCCAAGAGTACGTTTGTATGTTCATGCTTGACCACGGGCTCTACAAGTAATCACCTTTTTTCGCCCTTTCATATGGTCGGATTTTATACGTGCACACATATTACGTCATTTCATTTACCAGTTTTCGCATTTTTGTAATTTATTTATTTTTACGTACTACTTTTCATGAGGGGTAACTCTTAACGTGACTTCCTTATTTTCTCAATTTCCCATTTTATATTTTTTTTCTCTTATTTTTTTACATGCAAATATTTCTCATATGCTTTTCTACTTATGTTATGCATATTCCTCTACTCATTCTCGCTCTTGCGCTACTTGGCGCATAGCAAAATTTAACACAGCGTAAATAGTTGGCAAGCCAATATGGCTGAGTGACCATGCGGAAGGCATTGTGGCAGCGACGTCGCATAAAGTGTATGTGTATATGTATGTATTTGTGCAATGGTAGTTACTCAACAGCAATGAAATGTCTAAAAAAATGATCGGCCACAATATGAGCAAAATGCATGAGTTTTTGCTGAAATTAAATTTTAGAGAAAAAAATATTTTTTTATAATTAATTTTTAATTATTGTACAATTCTCTCGAACTATGAAAAATTATTTTCTTAATTTTTCTAAATTATTGATTTGGGTTATTTTTACACATATTTTAAAGCTAGATTTTCCTTAATACAATTTCATTTGTTAAATAAAATATTTTTTTTTTTAATTTTTAATTGAATCATTCACTTGAAAAATAATAAATTTAAAATCTTATTTCACACAGAAGCTTGGTAGTTGAACTTCTGTACACTTTAAAAGGTTATAATTAAATAAAATAATTTCACATCTCGAAAATTCAACAATATAAACAGCGCACCTGACCTTCTAGAGATTTTTTACACCTTCCATACCCCAAAAATGGCAGGGCAATTAAATCTTTTATGAAATCTTTCCGGCGAAAAAAAATTGTTTAATTATTTCCTTCATTTTTTTTTGGTTATTATGCCAAGCTAGCGAGCATTTCGCATGGTAAATATGTGCTGGTATGCACGTGTATGTATGAGCGTGTGTGTGTCAGTAATTTTAGCCACCTTGACTTAATGGCATTTGCAGTTGCACTACTAAAAAATAAAAAATAAAATAACATATAAAATATGTTGGAATTTTTATATGGAATTTAAATGAGTTGAAAGCAAGAACAAAAAGAGAAAAAAAATAAAACAGCTAACCAACAGCAAACAGCAGGGATTACATGGTTGCATTACATATTTGGAGTTTTGGCATTTTTTAATTTTTATTTATACATATTTATTTATTTTTTTATTTTTAATTTTAATTTTTTTTTTTTTTTTGAACTTAAGCTTTTTGAACTTTTTTTTTTTTTTTTNTCTTCCATGCGTCTTTTCACTAAGCAACTCAAATCAAAATGAAGTTATTTTATGCTTGATTTACAGTTCGGACTGTCACCTTTCCAACGATATATAACATGTATATATTTCTTTCACGAGCGCCACTCGCAAACGATTCGAACGGCATCCAGTGGAATCGGGCACGAACTTATGCACTCATCCTTACTTTAATTTTGTTCTTATCTTATAATATTTTTTTTTAAGTTTTTAAATATTTAAATGATTTGTAATTTAATGTTTTTTATATCTATTTTTTTATGAATTTTTTATGTGGTGTAAAATACTGTAAAACTAAGGAGAAAGACAAAAACAAATACCTAAAGGTGATGTGTAATTGATAATTAAACCATTTTGCATTTAACTATTTTATTTAAATTTAAGCATAAATATTTCTGGGATTTTAAGTTTTTTTTTTGATATTATTAAATTTATTAAATATTTTTTGTATTATTTTAATTTTCAAAAATTATGTGGGGCTAAATAAAAGTCGCTTTTATTAATTCAAGTGTTAAATTTTATTAAAAAAAAAATATTTTATATTTGCATTCAAAATTTCTTTTAACAAACAATTTTTATCGACAATATACGTCCGTGTCTGTTCGTAGTCGCGCAGCAACTATTGTTTTTATTCAGTTCGTTCGTTAGTTCAAATTTATGTCCGGGTGTACGTGTTGTCAGCATCAGTGTTGCAATTGACTTTATATGTCCTAAAGTACTGTTCACACGTTCCCACATATATTTCTTTATAATTATATAATATTTCTTTTAAATAATAAGTTTCCCCACATTTTTGAAGAAAATATAGAAAAAGCTCAAATTTCATTCCCCATTATTTATATAATCATTCGAAAACACATTCTTTGGCATTTAGGTTTTGAAGATTGTCACATTCAAATGCTGACGCTGAAGGTTCCTCCCTTGTTTCAGGCATCATATATATAATATATTCGGTCACCATTCACGGTTAAGTTCTCAGTTTTGAAGAAATTTAGACCTATAATTCCACCTTCCCACAAGCCACAACAAACTGTAGTGACAGCTCTTGAATATCTACAGGTTGCTCTTCCTCCTAAACGTGGCGATTTCCGTTGTTTACATATCCATTGAGCCAGAAATACACCTCAATGCTGAACAAAATTTGGCACGAAAACGTCGGATCCTCGTGGAGCTTTTCAAGATCGGCTTCAGGTCTTGCACAAATTGTATTTTATACACTTTCGATTTGATGTAAAATGTCAAAAAAGTGTTATTGAAAAACGTATCTATATATATATATATACATTTTCATATACATATTGTATTATCCCAGCGCATTTACATTCATTAAGCGGGCTTTACATTTAAGTTTATGTATGTATGTGGGCACTAAAATTAAACTATTTGTTAACAATTTTTTTTACAGCGATTGTGGTGGATTTTTGTTGTTGTTTGTATAAGGACATTTTACAGCCAATCTTGCAAATGCATTCAATTGCATATAAACTATATTACATAAGTATGCAGCAGACGTAAAAATAACAGCCAACAAGAGCAGCATGAAATTTCACTGAAAAATGCATGAAAATGTATAGAGTTCTATGTATGTATTTAGTATGCGCATGTACATATATTTGTATGCACATTTTCATCTCTATCCTTAAATCACAATTATACCATTTGCCATATGT